AGATGACACTGAGAAACTCTGATCTGTGAGGTAAAGTTCAGGATTTAAGCCAATGGTACTTGGTTCCAGGATGGACTTGGGGTTCTGGGTCTTAATTCATTCTAAGCCCTTATCAAGATGAACCTTTTAGATCTACTGGAATCGAATACGAATTTTAAATAACAGACACTGCTTCAGATTTAACATTTCTTTTGTATCATCATAGAAAGACCTCAAACATAGCAATTATTATCTAACAACTCCTAAGGCATACGTGATCAGGTAGCCCTGGACTGAGAAGACGTGGAACTCCATCATTACCAGGAATGATAGTGGGCAAGTCACTTTTCTTTGGACCAGTTCCTTTATCTGTAGGACGAGTTAGATGGACTCTGCAATAATCCCAAATTTCCTCCCAGATGTGACATGCTTTGGTTGAGTTACTGAAAGTACTTAGAAAGTACTTAGTTTTTCTTTATCATTTAGAAATAAATTATCTTAAAATGTTTTATATGCCCAAATGTAGGCCATTCTCACATATTGGGTAATCTTCAGTACCAGTGAGAAATTCAAAATTTTTGAAGAACTTGTAATTGTCTACTTTTATGGATATAAATGAAATAGCAAAATGTCTACTTATTCTATTTATTAAATTGTTATTTTACTAGAACTCCAGTTTTCCAAGTGAATACCTTTTTCCTGTCCATCTTGGTTGATGAAGATACAGCCATTTTGGATTCTGGGTATAATTCTCTTCCTGGAAAATTTATTCCAAGCCATAAGTGTTTATTTCCTTATAGTAAGAGAGTTTTTAAAATTTGACCTGCATTCATAATATTCATGATACTACAATATTCTAACTGTACTGAATTACTTAAGTGATCTTTAAAAGTTTTAAGAGACAACCAGTACTTGAAAATTGTAAATTCATACCTTCACTAATAATTACCATATTTATAATAATTTTTGTCTCTTTAAAAAAAAGAATCCATTTTATGACGTCAAATAGTTTTTGTAAATATCTAAAGCTGGCATTCATTGAAGTTGACTCAGGCCAATGTATCTTTCCCAAACACTACTTTGTCATTCAAAATCAAATAATTGAGAGAGCTACCAGTAATAGTAGATATTTTGTCAGGACTTAAATGTAAAGTGAGGGATAATTTTTTGAGGGAAAAACCTTGAGTTTTTATTTGGGCATATCCAACATACATTTCTTTTTAAGGAATACAAGTTGAGTCAAACAACTCTTTATTCTAAGTGTAATTAGAATATTAATCAAAGAATTTGCATTTGTTTCCTTATGGTCTTAGATCACCTTTCTTTCCCTATTTTTCTGTGTGGAACACTTGACGTCTCCTTTCCCCATTTGGCGTAGTTACAAGCTACTCCGGCTTCAGGTCTAAGATTATTTCCTAATCCCACAGACTAGATCAGAACCCTCTGCCAGCCTCCCAAGTCAGGTCCCCTTGTGTGATTGTTTGTCAGTTCCCAGTAAGAAAAGGCAGGATCTCACTACTGTATCTCCAGAACTAAGGTACGTTCCTGTCACCCTCTATACTCAATAGCTATGTATTGAATGAATGAATGAAGATGAAAACCTGATGATAGCTTTTTGTGCATTTCTTTTCACCTTCCATTGAGGAAAGGTGATAGAAGCATAAAGATCATAGCACTGAATTTGATGTGGTGATTATACATCAAAGTATTACGCGAACTTTGAGAGAAGAAATATGAAATACATAACCAAATGCATACTTATTTTCAGCTAGGTCTTATTTTTCATTTTTGTTTAATTTGCTTTTTCTGAGGTCCACATTGACTATGCTCTCTTTCTATATTATCCATTGGCTCTGCTTTCTTAATTTTCAGCGGACATAGGTATCAGTAGTTCTTTTCTGTACCCTCACTAAATTCTAATATTGAACCCCTCTGTTGAATGCTTCTGGAAATGCTGAATGCTCTTGTTGAACAGCTTTCTTTGCAGCTGTGCTGACCATGTAAAACTCCTATAAATTAGATTTCGCCGTTTAGTAATACAGCATTTGATGTTAAGTTAGGGTATGGATGACCTTGGACCAGATATGTCTGTAACCAATAGTCTGAATCTAATTACTTCAGCTAGTGTGCCTTGTGTACTTCAGCTGTCTCACTTGCTAGATTTCCTACTATGACTATTTCTGAGTGAGAGGTTTTTCTGATATTGTGAATAACTATACCTTTTCTAGATACTTGGACATTAGTAATGAATAGTATGTTAGACCAAGCATGAGGTGACCGATTCTTAATACCATTCGTCATTGTAGGAAAATCACTGAATTTCTGATTTTAGCGTGTCTTGTTGGCAAAATGGTAGTGATAATATTCTAGATATTTAACCTTCACCAACCCCCACGCTAGTTGCTATGGGGATAAAGAGATGAATAAAACATGGACCTTGCCCTTGTGTACAAAGAGACAGTAAAGAGTGCAGCCTTTAAAGTCAGATAGACCTGGATCTGTATCCTGGCTTCCCCACTTACTAGCTGAGTGAACTTTAACCAGTTGTTTTTAACCTCTCTGTGCTCCAGTTTCTTTATCTATAAAGTGGGACATGACAGTACCTACCTTATTGGGGTATTATGAGTATTAAATGAACAGATAAAGCACATAGAACCATTTATTACACATAGCAAGAGCTCAGTACATGTTAGCTAGTAGCAATTATTAATGTTAACTAGATACTTTGGAATCCCATGGAGGCGATATGTTGTAAAGGTCTTCTATGCTATGCTAAAGAATTTGGACTATAATCAGTGGTAGTTTTAAGTAGGTAAATAAGATTAGATTTGCTGCTTTTAAGTTAGTAATTCTGGCAGTGGTTTGGAAGAAGCACTGTGATGGAAAGAGATTCTTTGCCTTCTAAATCAGAGATTCTGTGTTTTTGTTTCTGTCTCTACACTGTTCACGTGCACAGAAAACTTCCATCATCCATCCATCCACTCAGCCTTCCATGCAACAAGTATTGGTTGTTTTCTGTGTGCCAGGCACTGGGGATACAGCAGAGAACAAGACAATCATGGTCTTTGTTCTCATGGAGCTTAGAGTCTACTGGGGGACGTTAGAGAACAAATAAATTAATGAGATAATTACACACTGAGATCTGTTCAATATGCGGATCTGCCTCTGTCCCTCCCAGTGTAAAAAGCTTCAGTGGCTTTATATCACTTGAGAATCAAGTCTAAGACCCTTTTACGTGACACATGAGACTCTGGGATCTAACCTCTGGCTGCCTCTCTAAACTCATCTCTCTTCCCTCCCTGCTTCCATTTTATTGTCAGTTAATACTGAACTGCTTATGATTTCCTGTAATCTCTTATTTGCCTCTGTTTCCCTGCAAATGCTGCCTTTTTACCTGAAGTTTTCTGCTTATTTGCTTTATTCGTTGGTTTTCAGCCTTTAAAAGCAGCTAATGCATCACTTCCTCCGAAGAACATTGCTGATACTCCACCCCTCCCCCTAAGCTGAGTTAGATCCCTCCCCTTAGTACTCGCATGATGCTCTGTCCTCATCTCTTACCACCTACCAACTTGCTACCAGTCCATTGTCTTATTAGTCTTAACAAGAGTCTAAGGCAGTGTGATTGGAGATGGAGAGAAGAGGCTAGTTTTAAGAAATCTTTATAAGGTGGAGTCAAAATTGAGTAGCAGGTTAGATGTGGGAAGAGAGGTTCTGAACTAGGGAAATTCTGTAACTAACTGGTCATGTCATGACCTAAGACAGGGACTCGAAGGAGGGAAGCAGGTGAGGAGGCATGATGAAGTCAGTTTGGGGAATGCTAGGTTTAAAAGGGATTGGAGTCTATCCAGAAAAAAATAGATAATAGGCAGTTAAAAATACAGATACAGAGTTTGAGATTGGTCAGAGCAGAGAACTATAGATGTGGAGTTAATCTGTTAATGGTGTTTGAAACTATTGGAGTGGATTTTTAACCCCCCAAAAATTAGTGATAAGCATTTTAGAATGGTTTTATCAAAGAAGTGTCATTTGAATTAATGTGTGCGAGAAAGCATAGAAGGGCATAATGAGTAGGGAGAATTATTTTGTTTCTTGCAATGATTGGGAATCTTATAATTTCCTTAGTTATTATATTTTCCTTTTAATTTTTTCATGTGTGATTTCTGCATTCCTCATCATACAATTAGTTGGGATATTAATTCTGAAGATCATAGACACTGGATACCTGTTTTAATGTTAATTTTTCTCTTCTGGGCCAAATTCCAGATAAAGAGTTTTCATCTTGCGGAGTGTTTTCTTCCTTATCGTCACTTTGCTATTTATGCCCTCATGTCACTGAACCAAGAACTGAATAACTGTTGTGATTTGTTGGTTTAGAAAGCTCAGCTCTAGAAATGTTCTGTCTGGCTTCAGTGATTCTTATGATCAGCTTGGTCATTGTGTCCCTGTAACTAGAAACTCCTATCATGTTTCTCCTCAATTTACTATTTATGAGTCTCAGCAAGGCCCTCAACTAAATCCAAAATGCTGTTAATCTTTAATGGCTGCCTCAGGTTCACGTGGGAGGAGTGGGCAGGAGGGGATTTTAGTGTCTCTGGCAGCACTGTTTCATTTTGCTGTTTTCCATTACTTGAATGTCATCTAATTTTTTATATTAATCTTTATAATACAAAGTTTAAGTCTAGGTCCCAAATCAATATTCCTTTCTTTGTTGTTCTCCCAATTAGGCCTAATATATGACAGTAAGTCAAGCATTGGAGGGGAAAACAAATCCTATCACTTACTTAAACTTATCTTGGTTTGAATAGCTTTGCTCAGACCTAGAGCCCTAGTAGAGTGAGAGTGTCGGGTGAGTTGTGTTATTATCTACCAGACTGACTGGGCGTATGTGACCATCACTTCAGTTTCTGTAGAAATTGGATTTTTTCCTGTGGCGATAGCTCTTGACTTTTCTTTACCTAGCGCCGTGTAAAGATACATCACTAGCAGTGGCATGCTCACCAGTGATTCTTCCCTGGGATTTGGGAGCTTATCAGAATCTCCAGGGGTACTGATAATTTTAAAAAGTCCCCCAGGCGTGATTCTGATTTGCTTCCTTCTCCTCCTCCTCCTCCTCTTCTTCTTCCTCTGAGAATTACTGTTTGATCCAGAAGCTTCAGCATAAATAGGCCCATTTATTGGTACACTGTCCTTGCAGAGTTCAGCTCCCTAATCCTCACGCCCCCGCACTTCCCTTTGGAGTGGTCCCCAGTAGTTCTTTCTAATACCGTAATTCTGAAACCAATGTCTACCTCTCACCGCAGGTGTAGCTACCACTGAAGCAGCCCTCTTAGTCTTTGGAAGCCTACAAAGCAAGGCGGCCCCCACAAGCTTGAGGGCCATGTTTAACTGTGTGGTTTATTTAAACGGAAGCCCTTTGCAAAGACTTAGACTACAGTCCAGAATTTATACTAATACCACTCCCCCGCCCAATTTTATTCCAACATTTTATAATGAAACATTTCAAATCTACATCAAAGTTGAAAGAATTTCATGGTGAACACCTGTAAATTCACCACCTAGATTCTACAATTAACATTTTAATACATTTGCTTAATCATAGATCTACCCAAAAATTCATCCCTCTACCCATATATTCATCTTTTTAGCATTTTATAGTAAATTCCAGATAGCAGTACAATTCCCCCTAAATATCTTGGCATACATTTTATTAACTAGAGTTTAATATTTGTTTATAGCCTTTTTTAATGTTAAATTTACGTACAGTAAAGTGCCTAAATCTTAAGTGCTCATTAGCTGAGTTTTGACAGATGATAAATCTGAATAACCCAAATCCCTATCAAGATATAGAAGATTTTAACAACCTCTCTTTTTCTGCCCAGATTATTCCCTATTGACTTTCTATAATCTCTGAGTTAAAGGTAAGAAAAAGGCTTGTCAGTGTTTCCAGGACAAATAGGGATCAATGTTTGGTGACAGATCAACAGATTTCTCTTCTCCATTGCCTAAAGTACCTTGTGTTTTGAATTGTATATGAATGTTTTAAAACAGGAGACTGAATGAATACATTATCTTTTCAGTTTTTAAATAATTATTTTAGAAAATACTGTATCTAGGTATAAATACCTTATATTTAGTTAAGTATTTTATAAGGCAAGAGATCTAGTTTAATGAAATGTGAGGAGATATCCATAGAAACATAAGTGGTGAAGAGAAAAGAAGTAGAGATGAGATGGGAAAAAAATAATATAAATAGTAAGGTAATATAATGTGTGTATTAATATGTGGTTAATTGATTAAAATATATATTGTGTATATCTAACATCACGAGATGTAGTCTATCGTGACAACAGTGGCATGCCATTTATTCAAGAATATCAGCATGTCATAACCTGCCTTTAGGAAATGCACATTAATTTCCTCTCACAATTGTTCTTGGGTGTTCATCGCCTTATTTTTAATGCCTTTATGCCTGGTAAATATTTCGTATTTGGCTTGTTTTTAGAGTGATGTAGCATATTTTAATTTGTACCAGTATATTTAAAATATGGTATAAGTTTGAAATTATTTGCTTTTATTTTATGAGGAGCAATATATAAGTGTATTTCTGATGAAATAATTCTGGTCCCAAAAGGAGAAGCTGTAAGAAAAGTAAATTGTGATATTTCCATAATAAAAAGATAAAGCAAACATGCAGGCATTTGCATACAGTTCCTGAAATATTGCATGCTGGCTTTGTCAGTGCTGGTAAGTCCATTTCAAGGATGTTGCCCTTAGTCCATTAGTTTGGATAATGAGCCCTATAAAGTACATTTATAACTTGTGGCACTGCAAGGAGATGGATTCTAATTTTCATCCTTTTATCTAGACACATTGAAAGAAGGTCAATGGAGGGTTCTATATGATTCATTGTCCCAACACATATCAGATGACAGAGACCTGATAATGTCCATGCATAAGTGTTTTCCTTATTTGGAAACAGCACTTGAAAGAAATCTTTCTATGATCATCCTTTGAAGTAAAGTGGAAACATATTAAAAGAAGCTCTATCCTTTTTGTTGTTGTTGTTTAAAACATTATCACACGTGTGACCAGATAGCTATTCTTGAACAAAAGAGAAAGCAACACTGAACAGAAAAATAAAAAGCCTTTGGTGGCTTTTACAGGCTGTGAATGATACAACAAGATATTTAATCAACTTTTCTCTCCCCCTTTTCTTAGATCTGTTAAGAAAAAGAAAGAGCCTGTTTTCTAAACAAAGGAAGAGCTTCTATGTTCCTTAACATTTTAGGAAAGCTTATACTATAATACTTATCCTAACTTTACTGTTATTACTGACATTCAAAATAAATATGTAAGTTCTATTCCAAGCTTATTTTATAGTTTAAAAGACTTCAGAAGAGCAAGAAGAATATATATTCTGTAATTTGGTGTCAATTTTGTGTGTGCATGTGTGTGAGGAAGATTGGCTCTGAGCTAACATCTATTGCCAATTTTCCTCTTTTTGCTTGAGGAAGATTGTCGCTGAGCTAACACCTGTGCCAATCTTCCTTTATTTTATGTGGGATGCTGCCACAGAGTGGCTTGATGAGCGGTGCTAGGTCCACACCCAGGATCCAAACCTGCGAACCCCGGGCTGCTGAAGCGAAGCACGCAAACTCAACCACTACACCACTAGGCCGGCCCCTGTGTCAACTTTTTTAATTTTGTCTCCCAAGAAATTGGTTTTAGATTCAAAATTGGTAGCTGATTATGTTCATTTTCTTTATTATCTAATCATTAATGAGAACTTTCTGCTATGCTTATCTTCTTCATAGATGTAAAGCAATCATAGATCAGTTTGGTCAGAGAATAATCTCTAAGCATTTCCTTGTGGAGGACAGTTACTTTTCTGAGAACACATGCTCGCATGTGCGATACAGGTAAGGCACCCCTCTACACACTGTCTAAGGGAAGGTGAAACTTAAGAAAATTGATCTGCGTGATTACATTGACACTTCTGTTAAGACTTTGTTCTTCAAGTAAGATGTAACTGTCTACCAAACCGAGGATATATTCAATATGTTACCACTGTTCTCTTATAGGGTCTGGTTTTGGGGGAGCCTAGCCTAATTTCGACTCCTTTGCATCAGCTGGGGTTTGTCTGCAGGTCACACATCCTTCTTTCATGAGCCAAGGAAAGATTAAAGCAGAACTTGACTTGATTTGGGGAGGTGACACTTTTATCGTGACTTAAATCTTTGAAACATGCCTTCTGGTGGTTATATAGCTGTAAATGAAACTTATTCATGGAATCTGAATCACTGATTAACTTTTCGTGCATTACAGGCAGATCTCCAGAGCAGTCCTGATTACAGATAGATCTGTACTAAAAACAGATTCAGACCAACAGGTAATTTTAGTCCTGTACTTAAACACATTGCTAACTTAATCTACATGGTTAGAAGTATAAGATAATATCAGTGAAATAAAATGTATTAAGCCATATGTGCTAATACATTTGTTACATTTAAAATATATATATATATAATAGCAATTATGTAATAATCTTGATTTCTTTAATATTTCCTTCCAGCAGAACAAATAATTGTGTTTTATGTAGCAGATTTATTGTAGGAAAATTGGACTAAATCCTAGTTGTCAACAACTATTTCTATGAAATTGAAAATATATTGTTATGGGAGGAAGAAGAGAGTCCCAAGAGAATACCTTTAAAAATCTTGGCGGAAAAGGCTTTATGCTAACCAACCCCACAGCAGTGGTGGTAAACCACCATTATGCCCGGTGTGAATGAATATCAGCGCACATTTCCAGTTCTGATATTTGCTCATCACCATTGTTCATTTCAGCATCCTCTTCTTCCTCCTCACTCCCAATTCTATAGGAATGTGTTTATGCCTGTGGACTTTCCTGAGTCTGAACACTTAAATTCCAGAAGTATGCCCCCTTCTTCTGACCATATTTTACAGTGACTGATAAAATCAGCTTACTCAGTAAGTGTGCCTGTTAGACCTATTCTATATACTACCGCTAAAAATAGGTTCCTAAAATTCCTTAAGTTGGGAGCTTTCTATTACATGAAACAAATATGTTCGTTATGCATGTGAGCATAAATACTTTCATTTAATCATTCGGCAAACATTGAGTGCCTTTTATATGCCAGGTAGTGTGCTAGGTTCTGAGGAAACAGTGCTAACCATGATAGCATCTCTGCCCTCATAGCTCGCAGACTGAAGGATACAGATACAGACAGATAAATAGCAACTACAGTTCAGTGTGACAAGTGTGAGCAAGGAATGGTACAGCAGTTATTGTAGCACTCATCACACTGTGCTGTAATTGCCAGCCCACTTGAGCTTTGTGAGTGGGTCAAAGTGTGACAGGGAGGCAGAAAAGTGAAGAGAGCAAATAGAGACAATTCTGAAGAAGCTAAGCTGTGAAGAGTAAGAGAGAGGAAGTGGTTCTTCAAGAGGGATGTGGAAGTGAAGAGGGCTTTTCTTTAAAAGATTGGTGTATACTTCAGCTGATGGGGATGGGAGCTAGTAGAGAGGGAGAGGGTGAAGATACCCAGGAGAAAAGAGGGTAATTGATGCAGTGAGGTCCAGGTAAAGGCCAGGGAGGATGGGATTCAGAGAACAGGTAAGAGCATTGCCCTTAGATGGGATGTGAGACACTTTGAAATGAGAAGGTGGATGCAGGACCATTTGGTGGTTTGGGAGTTCCCGTCTGATGGGTTCCATTTAGTCTTTAAATTACAGGGTGAGGTCATCACCTGAGAATGAGGGTGTGAGAGTGGAGAATGGGTCAAAGCTCAAGGAAAGGTGTAAACTAATCACTGTGGGGAGTTGGAGAATGACCTATCTCGTGGTCAGATGACTGGGCAGTGTCAACGGCCCAGTTGAGTCTGGAAGTCATGGGTTTACAGTGGCGTTAATCTGCCCCTATTCTTCCAGCTCTTTCCTTCTCTTACCCCTACCCAGCCTGCTCACTGACCTGTTAAGAGACCTACAATTCCTTGTCCCCTCTGTTTCCTCCCAGATTGCGAGCTCCCTTGAGCCCTCTTCCTTTTCCATGTCTTAGACCCCTTGGTGGATC